GTACTCAGGTGCAGTTGAGCACAGCCTTTCACCCTCAGACGGACGGGCAGTCCGAGCGCACCATTCAGATATTGGAGGATATGCTACGCGCCTGTGTTATTGACTTCGGAGGGTCATGGGATCGGTTTCTACCGCTTGTAGAGTTTGCCTACAACAACAGCTATCAGTCCAGCATTCAGATGGCACCGTATGAGGCCTTGTATGGGAGACGGTGTAGATCTCCAGTTGGTTGGTTCGAGCCCGGGGAGGCTAGATTGTTGGGGACAGATTTGGTTCAGGATGCATTGGAGAAGGTGAAGGTGATTCAGGAGAGACTCCGTACAGCGCAGTCGAGGCAGAAGAGCTATGCAGACAGGAAGGTCCGAGATGTATCCTATATGATGGGTGAGAAGGTCTTGCTGAAGGTTTCACCCACAAAGGGTGTTATGAGATTTGGAAAGAAAGGGAAACTGAGTCCGCGGTTCATTGGGCCTTTTGAGGTACTTAGGAGGATCGGGGAGGTGGCTTATGAGCTTGCCTTGCCACCTAGCTTGTCGGGCGTGCATCCAGTTTTTCATGTGTCTATGCTCCGGAAGTACATTAGGGACCCGTCCCGCATTTTAGATTTCAGTACAGTTCAACTGGAGGGTGACTTGACTTATGAGGTAGAGCCAGCAGCCATTTTGGATCGTCAGGTTCGGAAGTTGAGATCAAAGGATGTTGCATCAGTGAAAGTGCAGTGGAGAGGTCGGCCCGTGGAGGAGGCTACCTGGGAGACCGAGCAGGAGATGCGGAGCAGATATCCTCACCTATTTGAGACTTCAGGTATGTTTCTTGACCCGCTCGAGGACGAGCGTTTGTTTAAGTTGGGGAGGATGTGACGACCCGACCCGTCGTCACGTGAGTTACCACCCCGTTTCCCCCATGTTATGCTTCTTCATGTTTCATTATCAGTATTTGATGTGTTAGAGTTGGTTTGGAATGGTTTTGATAAGAAATGAGACACTTAGTCCCTTTTAAGAGGGCTTAAGTTGGAAAGTCAACCGGATGTTGACTTCTGTGTTAGAGGGCTCGGATTTGAATTCCGATGATTTGGTTAGCTTCGGGGGATGATTTGTGACTTAGGAGTGTGATCAAAAGTGATTTTGGAGGTCCGGAGTAGAATTAGGCTTGAATTGGCAAAGTTAGTATTTTGGCTAATTCCGGTTGATAGGTGAGATTTTGATCTGAGGGTCGGAATGGAATTCCTAGAGTTGCAGTAGCTTCGTTAGGTGATTTGGGATGTGTGTGAAAAATTTCAGGTCATTCGGAGGTGATTTGGTTGGATTTTTGATCGAATGTGTATTTCGGAAGTTTTTGAAAAACTTAGGCTTGAATTCGATGAGAAATGATGGTTTTAGTGTTGTTAGAGGTGTTTTGATGATTGGAACAAGTTTGAAAGAGGTTTTAGGATATGTTGGCATTTTTGGTTGAGGTCCCGGGGGCCTCGGGTGTGTTACGGATGGTCAGCGGGTCATTTTTGGAACTTGTTGGATTGCTGAACTGCTGGTATCTGGTTTCCTTCTTCGCGAACGCGAAGGATGAGACGCGAACGGAAGGAGGGGAACAGTGTGCTACGCGAACGCGAGAGTGCAATCGCGAACGCGTAGAAGGAGTTTGGGCCTGGAGTCAATTGGTCTACGCGAACGCGAGACATGCTACGCGAACGCGAAGGGTCTGGGGAACTTGGCCTTCGCGAACGCGAAGAAGGAGGGGTCAGACCTGGGCAGAATGTTTTAAAACATTTCATCCGCGAACCCAACCCACTTTTCCTCCATTTTTGAGCACTGTTGAGAGCTTTTGGACGGGGATTGAAGAGAGTTTCAACTGGGGTCGATTGAAGGTAAGTTTTATGAGTTAAAAACATGAATTTATTATAGAATCATCCTTGAAATTCATGAGAATATAGCCAAATTGTAAGAAATTAGGGCTTGAGTTTGAAATTCTAAATTTGAGATTTGAGGGGCCATTCGTGGTCCGGTTTGAGAGATTTTGGTATGTATAGACTCGTGTCGAGGTGAGGAATCCGGTGATGTTAATTTTTTGATTTTTCGAGAAATGGGCCCGGGGCTCGGGTTTTGCCAACTTCGTGATTTTCGATGTTTTTCGAGTCTTTTCGATTGGGTTATATTCCCTTAGCATATTGTGACGTATTCGTTGTGGTTTTGGTCAGATTCGACGCGCGAAGAGGTGAATTCGAAAGGCAAGGACATAGCAAGCTAGGACCTTGGCCGGCTTGAGGTTAGTAATAAATGTAAATGCTGTGTTAAGGGTTTGAAACCCCGAATTTGCACAACGTAGTGCTATGTGAGGTGACTTGCACGCCGGATAACGGGCGTGGGGTAGAGCACCGTCAGGGATTGTGACTTGGTCCGTCCCGCTTAATAAAATTGATACCTATTTGATTGTAGATTTGTAATATCCTTATAAAAATAGATTAATTGTCATAATTGGGCTTCGTGCCAACTACTCGAATCCTTCAGGGATTATTTTAATGGTTTCTTACCATATTTATAAATATTAAACTCAGTCCTGGTATTTAATACTGTGTTCGAAATCTCAGCCATTTTCTTAAATTAGAAATTAAGTTAACATTTTTAAATGAAGTTTGGATTGAATATTTTTATGCTATCGTGTGATTTTTAGACTGAGTATGGGATCGGGCTGCACGCCGCAGCAGTATTATAATGATATTGATATGAGGCCAAGGGCCTGTTTGATACCACGAGATGACTTATTATTGCGCTTGGGCCGTAAGGGGCCCCTCCCGGAGTCTGCACACCCCCAGTGAGCGCCGTCGACGTTAAATAAATGGAGCGGGCTGCACGGCCGCAGCGGGGTACTGGAGGTACCGGTTTATGTGTTGCATTACATATTTAATTGTTATTTATTTCTTCATCTGTTGTGATGTTTATTCTAACTGTATTGTTGTTTAATGGTATTATTAGCTTTACTTTGCGTTTATTTAGGATTTCTTATTCTCAGACCTTATTTATATTTATTACTTTCTGAGTTGGAAGTACTCACAATACTCCCTGCACCTTGTGTGCAGATCCAGGTACACCAAAGGGTGAGTGAGGGCTTGTTAGCTGAGCAGCAATTATCTGGGAGTGTCGAGGTAGCTGCATGGCGTTCGCAGCCTTGATCTCTCCCTTCTATCTTTGATTATTTTATTCGTTTTATGTTCCTAGTCGGACTTGTAATAGGTGAATAATCTGCTTCTAGAGGCTCATGTTCGTGACACCAGATTCTATGGGCTATTTAGTATTTTATTTTGGGGTTTTCGAATGTTAGAGATTATATCAGAATTTTCCGCACTAAATTGGTATTATAGTAGTGAATATTTATTTATTTATTTAGATTATTTGGCTAAGGTTGTGTAAATGATCGGGCTTGCCTAGCAATGTGTTGGGCGCCATCACGACCGGGGTTTGGGTCGTGACAGAATTAATTGAGAGACCACTCAACAAGGAAGATTCTACTAAAATAGTGAACGGTATCATTATCAATAATAATTGGAATCTTGACGCACTAACATATGACCTACCAAATACGATCTCTAACATCATGCAACAAACTTACATCCCTTTCTCTGAACACTAAATGACTCCTTCTTCTGGAAAGAAACAGAGAATGGGAACTTTACAACGAAATCAGCTTACAATCTCTTCACTAGACTAACAGGGACTACCCGACAACATGAGCCTTTTCACCACTTCTGGTTATGGTAAGCACACTGACATAACAAACTAAAAACTTTTCTTTGGCTACTACTACACCAACGACTACCAACTATGGTTGTTCTATACCAAAGAAACATAATAGAAAACAACTCATGCAACACTGTGGAACAGAGGAAAATCCATACCACCTTCTCTTTCAATGCCCCATCAACAGCAGTATATGGGGAGAACTAAACATGAGTCCACCAAAACCATCTTGATTGGATAAAAGTAAATTGTACCTCAGATGCAAGCACCTTACTACTAAACAATTTTTCCATACCTTTGGCAATAATAATCCCTATTATCCTTTGGCATATTTGGCTAAACCACAACCACAACCTTTTCAATAATGAATCCCACCATATTGATACCAGAAAAATAATTATGTACGCAATGGAATATCTCTGTCTCACAAACCAGAACTTCAGACACCCATTAATGTCCAAAACATTGACAAAATGGAACCCTCCACCACACAATATCTTTAAACTCAATATAGATGGTGCACACCAAAAAAAACTCCGACAAAGGAGGGGCAAGCGGAATCATCAGAATGGATTGATGGATTCTCTTACCATACAATGGCCTCATCACCCATCCAAGCTGAAATCATCGCCCTACTGAAAGGATTGGAACTTGCTTTCACAAAAAATCGAATACTGCTTATAGTGGAAACAGATTGCCAGGTATTACTACAACTACTACATGGCAATTCTCACACTAAAGCTAATGTTAATCTTCTTCATGATTGCAGGTTCCTGTTAGAAGCACTGGATCAACCGGAAGTTAGGCATGTCTACCGTGAAGGAAACCAAGTGGCGCACACACTAGCAAAGTTTGGGAGCAACTGTAACTCACATGCTAATGCCGAGTGCGTCGAGCACTTCTGGAGTGAACCACCTCTATTTGCTTTCTCTACTTTCCTCAAAGACAAATTAGGAGTTGTTTCGATAAGATCAGTCCGGTATTGTAATAATTCTCTTTAGTTTAATGCTTAATAATAATCCGCGCCCCCAGGCGCCTTTATTAAAAAAAAAAAAAAGAAAGAGAAAGAGAGAGAGCGCGCCTTGTAAATGCGACTTATAAATTGAGTTTTATAATTGGGACTTATAAAATATATTGCATTCTTTAATTACGTCTTATTCCGAAATATGTTAGAAAAATCTAACAATATGAACGTGTTTTGACCGTTGGGTAGCTACCTCCCGCCGTTGGGTAGCCACCTCCCGCCATTGCTGTGAGCTTAATACGCACTTTTCGTAGTATTTATTTTATTTTGTGGGCAGACCCCACAAAAGACGACTCTTTTTATTTTTGTAAGAAAGAAACATGAGCAGAGATATGGGATCTGTGACAGTGACTCCACTTAATATATAGACCAAAAACTCACCATAAATACATCAAAAATCTTTCTTTTTTTAGCTCTTTTTAGTTGAAGCTTCTATTAATTATCAATTTTTCTTGGAAAGTTCTAATTTTTTAGGCATGGATAGCAGCAGCAGAAGCTGGTTGAGGAATTATGAAGGCATATTGAGGAGCTTTTACCCTTTGTTTTTGGGTCAAGTTGTGTCTTTTGTTATGGCCCTTATGAGTTTCACTTCTTCTCTAGTTGCAAATCTTGGTATGTTGCTTCTTTAGAGTTTCTTGGGGGCAAAATCTTGTTTTTGGGAGAGGCGGATTCGGGATTTAAGCTTTACGAGTTCCAACATTCAAGGTTCTTTGTTATTGAACATGTTGTAATTATGGATTCATATCTATTATTTGTTGTGATTTTAGTATTTTTTTTTGCACATAATTTATGTTTCTCGTCGAAAGTACCGGCTCAAATGAACCTGGTGCTTACATGCTGCATCCACCTCTGTTGTTTTTCCGGGAGGGGGGGGGGGGGGGGACTTCCTTTCTTGTGTACTTGAATTATTTCTCAAATTTTAGGCTAAATGGTTTTGTTTTCTTTTGTGAAAGAAATTGAATGATGAGAAGCAGTTTGATTTTATTTGTATTGTAGGTGCAAATACTCCACTTTCCCTGTCATTCTTTTCTTATACAGCATTAGCATTGGTGTATGGAGGCATCATGATTTACCGGCGGCAGAAATTAGGGGTATTTTGTTATTAATCTTACTATAAATACTGATATTTGATCGTGAAAGCCAAAGTGATTGCCTGGATTTTATTGAGTATATTTTTAGTATTTTTCTCGTCGTGGCGATTTTCCATAAGCGAGTAATATTTTAGAGAGATATATCTGTTTATAGTGTATTTAGCATTTGATTTTACGTAGTGATTGTGAATTGAATGTTGTTTTAAGCTTGCAGATTCCGTGGTATTGGTATGCCCTTTTAGGCTTTGCTGATGTCCAGGGAAATTTTCTTGGTAAGAAGTTGGATATTACTTTGCTTTGCATACATTATTCTAAGGCTTTGTAATGCACTATAATAGGAAATCTTGAACCATTACTCAGCTCACTACGTTGCGGATATAGCTTTAGTAAACTCTTGGACGTGGAAGTGAACTACCATCTATTACGCAATAGACATCGTTAAATTTCTTTCTGCTTATGTAATTCGTTTGCAACTTAGGTTTAGAGAAAGTGCAGATTTTCGGTGCATGTGTAGCTATCTGATACCAATAATCTACTTAGCTGCAAATTAGGTGTCATAGCAAAATTTTGGTAGTAAGAATTCTGGGAATAGGCAAGTTCAGATCTTCGGTGCAATGTCCAAGTGATATAGGAAAATTTGCCACTACTTATTACAATCATGTCTCTTAAAAAGTTTGCAGAGATTTACAATAGATGCCTGTTTTTTTCTTCTCTTTTTCCCTCTCTAAAGAGCTATAATTCACATAGTTTGCGATCTTCTTTTCAATATGTTCAATTATGTACATAATGAGAACTATATATAGTGAAGTCTAAAGCACAACATACGCTCCCCAACCATAATCTGATGGAATGGTTATTCTTCTTTCATGGCACATTTAGTCCTCTGGCTCAGTGGACCTGGAGCTTGTCTGTTGCAGCAAGCTGTATTATGATTGAAAATATGTAGTGGAAAGTTTTCCCATTATAATTTCATATCCTATTGTAGGATCTTAGAACTTCAATATTGCCATAATTATCCAGAATATGAAATTAACTTCCGTTAAATGTATTGCAGTAAATAAAGCGTATCAGTACTCCTCGATCACCAGCGTGACGATACTGGATTGTTGGACAATAGCTTGGGTGATACTTCTGACATGGTTAGTTTTGGGTACACGATATTCTCCGTGGCAATTCTTGGGTGCAGCAGTCTGTTTAGCTGGTCTCGGACTTGTGCTTCTGTCGGATGCTAAGGCGAGTAGTGGAGGTGAGACTGTCTGTTTCCTAAATGGTTCATTTAGGTGTAGTAAATGGACCATTTTAATGTTGTATATCATCTTTTGTCAACGTACCTTTCCATGTTTCCTTGGGTTCTTGAAAGCACTTCGTATCTTGAGTCGAACAGAAAGAGTGTACCGTTTTAGAAAGTGTTAATTTTTTTGAGGACTTTGGTCATTTTCATTTGCAGGTGGTTCAAAACCTCTTCTTGGCGATATATTTGTGATCATTGGGACACTTTTCTTTGCAGTGAGTAACGTCGGCGAGGTTGGTGTATTCTTTTGTTTTTATTTCTAAATTTCTCCCTTCTACCTGATTGCAACTCAAAATATTAACTTATGCATCTCTTCTTATCAAAATTTTATGGTACATTTACTACAATTCACTTTAATGCAGGAGTTTTGTGTCAAAAAGAAAGATCGTATTGAAGTGGTTTCTATGATTGGTCTTTTCGGGTTGCTTGTCACTATAATTGAGATGTATCCTTTCTACCTAAAACTATTTTTTCATAAGGTGTGTTTCATATAGCTGTGGAACTATGAAATGTACAAATTTTCATTTTCAGACCAATCTTGGAAAGGAAGAGTCTGGAATCAGTCAAGTGGTCTGCAGAGATTGTAAGTGACTTAGAATCGTGCGTTCTTATTTTTGCCCCCCTATGTCGTTATTGCTTCTCATTTTTCTGTGTTTTTCTTCTTTCTTAAAAGAAAATTTCTTCTGTGTTTCCGTTAGAATATCTCATGAAAACCTGGGCCGTTACTGTAAAAATGGAGTCATGATTTAACCTTTCTGATGTCCAATTTTCTGTTGTATCTGATAATGTGAGGTTGCATTAAAATGCTTTTTACTCATTTGATCTCTTAATAAGAACTGAATAGCTAGGGCTTAGTTCATGTGACAAAGGTTGAGGGACTTGTGATATAGGTCACACGTTCGAGCCTTGTGCCATGCGAACTAAGCCTGGCATTTAAATGGAGAAGAGTAGAGGGATGGGTCCATTATCCTCGAGTTTCATAAGCTGCGGTTGGTCCTAAGGGTTGGCACGGAACGGATTTCTCGGTCATCAAAAAAGTTGTTCTTTTTTTCTTTCCAAAGGAAAAGAAAAAGATCCTATTATCCGATGTGACATTGTTCTGTTTTTTTTCTCTTCCAGATATTAGCCTTCTTTGGTTACGCGACTGCAAGCTTTATGTTCTACACCTTGGTTCCCTTTCTTCTTAAGGTAAAACTTACACTTATAGTTCCAATGACTACTGTTGCTATAGGTTTGATTCATAGATGTCATTTCATTTGCAGACAAGTTACACAAGGATTGTGACACTGTCTTTGTATTTGTTGTTAGATATCTTGTTCATGATTCTATATTGGACATAATTTGTAACTTAAAATATACATTTGGAACAAAGCCGGATTACAGTTGTATTTTATCCAATCCAGATATTCACTTTATTACTGTATATTATTAGGATAAGTATAATACTATAATCAAAGTACAAAGTATAATCTCATTACTGTAATGAGATAAAGTATATCAATGTTAAGCACCCGAGGCCAATAATAGAGAACTTCTAGTATTAAAGAACCCCAAATTATCGAATATTAAAATGAAATCGGTCCAAATTGAGCCAAATGGATAGCGAGTATTTATATAGCTGGCCCCAACTGCCTTGGACTTGAGGTGTAGTTGTTGTTGTTTTTGTTACTGTTGTTGAATTTTCTTTTACTCTGGGATAAGGGATTAATTGAAATCACTTAACATGTATCTAAAACCGAAACATGTGATCTCGTTATCAACTCTAACAGAAGGATAATATGAATACAGATGAGTGGATCAACTTTGTTTAATCTATCTCTACTCACATCTGATGTGTGGGCAGTTGTTATCAGAACATTTTTCTACAAGCAAAAGGTATGTTTATCCATTCTCTTCGCTCATTTGAATTTTGATGGTTTCAGCCGTATCTATCTCTAGTTTTCTTAATATACCCTGTGTTGATCGCTCCTAATTGATATTTGCAGGTTGAATGGCTGTACTTCGTAGCTTTTGCACTTGTGGTTACGGGGCTGATCATATACTCAAAAACGTATGTCCTGCACTTTGTATTCGTTGTCTCGTCTCATCATCATAAACTATCATATTATAGCATTATAGGGATGCGGAAATTGCATACTGAGGGCTCGTTTGATACGAGGGATAAGGGATAATTAATCCCGAAATTATATTTGAGATGAGTTCATTCCACATTTGGTTGGGATAAAATCACGGTATTTACTAATCCCCGGATTGTAGTGTTAGGCTACTGACCAATCTGAAATGTCATCTTTTCTAATTAAAATAAATCATTGGGTTGCTACACTGTATTGTTGAAAAGTTTCATGAGTGAAATATAGTACTCTACTGACCATTTGTTTGTTCGTCAACAGTTCGAAGGATCCTGTTAGTGCACCAGCTATAGAAGAAGCAAATGCAGATCAAAGGTACCAACTTCTTAATGAAGATGAAGAGCGCGCCGATTGTAGACATGAGGCTACTGTTTCATGAATAGTTGTATAAGGAAAGATACATTGGTATTATTGTATTAAACGTTGTTTTAGGTGTATAACAACCGTTCACTATAATAGCCAAAAAAATGTCGGGAAAATATGTCATAGATATAGAAGCTTCCTTTTCCCATATCTCTTCTTGAAACTTCAGAAAGAACTCAAGAAGTTCACTTTATTCTAAACCATTTTCTGCCTATAAATAATATGTATGTGTTTGTACGTAAGAGTTGAAGGTAGTGTTTGGTTATTGAATGGAAAATGTTAAAGGGAAAAATAAACTGCAAGAACTAAAGTATCATTTCCTTAAACTATATAAACCAAGAAAGCAATAAGGAAAAGAACGTTGCTTTTCTTTGGTGAGTCTTACTTGTTAATTATTCATGGACTACAATATTCATTAAATGTTGGTTTTCATTCAATTTACATTTAAAAGCATATTATAAAATGAAAAGACTACTAATAGAATGCCACCTTGTAATTGGATTTGAATGTAATCGGCAGCGGTGGATGCACTGTATCTGCATGGAGTTCAACTGGACCCAATACTTTTGTCACGAAGCATAAGTTATGTGTAAAAATTAACTACTATTGCAATAGACAACAATATGGGTTAGCACCGAAAAAATAGGTGGTATCGGAGCAAGGTTCAAGACAGGTTCATCTTGGCGGGTTTAGGTCTAGCCGCAACCTATTTGACGGTAATCATGATTTTTTGTCTGAGAAATTTGACTGGAGTGCAACGCACGTTGAGACAAACTTTGTGGTGGAGATTTGAAGATGCGACTTGTTGAAGATTATGTGAAGAAGGTGGATCAAGTTTATTTTGTCAGAAAATTCAGGCCAAGGGGGAGAATTGTTAGGTATTTGTCCAGATTTTCTTTCCATAATTGGTTTTCCTATTTCATGAAGGAAACGACAACATATTTACCATAATTGAATTTTTCTTTTCCTAGAAGGAAAATATAATTCTTCCATATTTGGCTAGTCCCTTTTCTTATAGGAAAAGGTTTGGAGTACTATAAATTGAGGATCCGCCCTTCTCATTCAGTAGCATCCACAATGTAGCCATATCGGGCTTGAGAGTCGTGTTTAGGGGGAGAACTTTACGGGATAAGTGTTAGTGTGCCACTTGTGTTTGCCTCTTCGTGAGGTTGTTCTCTCAATATTTTTGTACTCTCTTTTATATAAGGATTGCTCATCTCCGCCGTGGATGTAGGTCAATTGGCTGAACTACGTTAAATGTGTCTCTTTTTGTATATTTTTCTTTGTTGTATGATTTATTGTCGTTCAAGGTTTGCTTTGCTAGTTTCCGCATGACACCTGATTTATTTTCGGTCCTAACAATATGAACCCATAAAATTTAAATCCTAAATACACTTGTGGTAATCAGATGTAATTACATAGTTTTGGATTGTTGTTTGGCAAAGTAATTACTTACAGAGCGTAAATTATGTGTAAATATTCACTTGTTTTGCAATAAATAGCAATATGAACCCGTAAAATTTGAATCCTAAATACGTCTGTGGTAATCGAATGTAATTACATAGTTTTGGATTGTTGTTCGGCAAAGTAATTACTTAATTAACATGGATCTGGGTGTAATTGAGGGGAGCAATTACACTTGTATGACCAAACATGACATTGAGAATTACTTTAAAAGATGTTATGACAAACAAAGCTATTTTTGTAATTACTATATTTTGCAATTATTAGGTTGTGTAGTTAACTAGCTACTAACCGAGTAATTATCCATCCTAATAATTTAAAAATAAGTTTAATGCACTAACCTCCCGTTATGCGCGAGGTTCGGGGAAAGACCAGACTGCAAAGGTCTATTATATTCATTAGGGGTGTACAAAGGAAACCAACAAACCGCACCAACCCGATAATCCGAGTCAAACCGAGAAAAAGAATCCGACTATGGTTTGGTTTGATTTGGTTTGGTGTTAGAAAAAAAAACCCGACCATACTTTGTTTGGTTTGGTTTTAACTAAAGAAAGTCAAAACGAAACCAAACCAACCCGACATTACATATATAGAAATTTCAGATATATTTAATATATTAAATATAATTATTGTGATGTAATTTATAAATATTTCTTAAAAATATTCATAATTTTATCTTTTAAGGTATTATTTCAAGGTTGGATTTAGAACTTTTGAATGTTCCAATAACTGTCATAGCCATTAATAATAGTAAATTAAATAATGCTAACAAAAGCCAAACCAAAATCAAATCAATATTAATGCTAACAAAAGACATTCAATTCAATACCGCAAACGAGAATGTGTTGAATATTTATTTTTCGTTTTGCAATTAGATAAAAATACATAACCTATTTTTATTTTTTCTTTAGCGTTTAGTCATGTAATTAGTACTCCCTTATTAGTCTACTTATTTTTGCATGACTTAGTACTTTTAAATTATATTTATTTTTATTATGGCTTTTTAATTAGCAATATTTATATTACATAATTTTATTGTCTTTATTGTTGAATATTTTAGGATAATGCCATGACACATCTCATTTTGTATTATTTTCTTGGAAAATACTTTATATAATTGTATCTTACTAGGATTAAAGAAATATTTTGAGCACAAGTTATATATTTTGTTCTTCGAAGATTTTACCGGAAAAAAACTCCGAATAACCCGAAAACCTGAGAGAACCCGAAAAAACCGAGATTGAAAAACTCGAGTTTTATTGGTTTGGTTTGGTCTTTAGATTTAATAACCCGACACAATTGGTTTGGTTTGGTAATTGTAAAATCCGGGGGGATTTGCACTATACCCGCTTTTTGGGTCACGTTTTAACTTGTGCCCGCTTTGCAAAAAAAAAATTGCAAGCGTACCCACTTTTTCGCGTAACTTCAGCATACGGGCTGAAGTAGCAAAGCCAATCACGCAAAACTTCAGCATTCTAGTAGACGGGCCTGAAGTAGCAAAGGCAATACGCTGAAGTTTTCTTGTCCTGGATAAGATGTTGTAAATGCCTAATTTTTGTTCTTTTCTTTTACATTGTAGTTTTGAATAATTATTTGGTGTGTATTTGGAGATTTTAGAATTAGTCTTTTAGTATAATTAATAATTAGGGAGTAAGGGATTGGGCTAGTTATTTTAATTGAAATTGAGACAAATTGGCCCAAAACTAGAGTCCAAAGAGCCCAGATCCGGTCCCAAAAGGGGCTGCCAGGGTGTCACGACCCCAACCCCGGTCGTGATGGCGCCCAACACACTGCTAGGCAAGCCCGACCATTTAAATAACCTTAACCAATTAATCACAGTGCATGGATAAATTAACACAGCTAAATTACTAAGTCATAATACTGAAATCCTGAAATAGAGTTAAACATGCGGAAATCCCAAAATATAAAATAACTACACAGCCCGAAGAATCCGGTGTCACAAGTCTGAGCCTCTAATACATGAGTATCAACCTACTACATATCGTTCTCTAGAAATGAGGAAATAAAATAAATAAGATAGAAGGAAGATCAGGACTGCGAACGTCAAATGCAGCTACCTTGAAACTCCCAAATATGATGCTAGGCAGAGAAGTCCTCACTCAGCCTCAGTAGTACCTGGATCTGCACGCAAGGTGCAGGGAGTAATGTGAGTACTCCGACCCAGTGAGTAATAAACATAAATAAAGGCTGAGAATAAGAGATCCTGAATAGGCACAAAGTAATTCTATAAATACAACAACTTGAACCCAGTAGCATAAAAACCAGTAAATCAGTGAAAACAATTATAGAAATATCACAACAGATAAATAAGTAAATGACAATCAAATATGCAATGCAACACATAGACCGGTACTCCCCAGTACCCGCTGCGGCGTGCAGCCCGCTCCAATTATTTATCGTCGACGGCGCTCACTGGGGGTGTGCAGACACGGGAGGGGCCCCTTACGGCCCAAGCGCAATAATAAGCCATATTGTGGCATCAACTAGGCCCTCGGCCTCATATCAATATCAATATCATACCGCTGCGGCGCGCAGCCCGATCCCATACTTAGTCCAAAATCACATAAGCCTCTCGGGCACATTAATATAGAAATATTTAGACCAAACTTCATTTAAAAATATTAATTGAGTTTCTAGTTTTGAGAAAAACGGCTGAGTTTGCAAAACAGTATTAAATTCTAGGACTGAGTTCAATGATATGTATAAATGGTAAGAAACCAGTAATAACAATCCCTGAAGGATTTAATCAATTGGCATGAAGCCCAAATATAGCAGCTCAATTAAAATAATAATAAGTGAATTTCAGTCAAATACGCAGTATATTCATCTACCGGTACGGACCAAGTCACAATCCCCAACGGTGCTCTACCCCACGCTCGCTACCCGACGTTCAAGTCACCTCAATATAGCACTACAATGTGCAAACACGGAGTTTCAAACCCTTAGAACAGCATTTACATCTATTACTCACCTCAAGCCGGTCAAAATCCTAGCTCTCTATGCCCTTGCCTCTTGAATCGACCTCCTCGTGCGTCGAATCTGATCAAAACCACAACGAATACGTCACAATATGCCAATGGAACAATACCCAAGCGAAAACAATCAAAAAATAGCTAAAATCTCGAAATTAGCAAAACTCGAGCCCCGGGCCCACTTCTCGAAAATCAGAAAATTTAATATCAACGGATTCCTTATCTCGCCACGAGTCTGTACATATAAAGATTACCAAAATCGGAGTCTAAATGACCCCTCAAATCCCCATTTTAACTCTCTTAAGTTTCAAGCCCTAACCTCCAACCTAACTCCTTAATTCCTTGGTTTTTCAGTCTAAATTCACAATAAAAACGTGTTTTTAGTTCATAGGACTTACCTCCAATCAATCCCCGTCGAAATCCTCTTCAATTCCCGTCCAAAAGCTCTCAAGGTTGCTCAAAAATGGTGGAAATAAGACTTGGTTCGCGGATGAAATATTTAATAAAACCCTTCTGTCAGCCCAGTTTTTTTGTCTATGCGATCGTAGCACCAGGCTTGCGATCGCAATGCACAAAATTCAAACTCCAAAATTTAACCCTATGCGATCGCGGATATACCCATGCGATCACAATGCACAAGGTCCTTAGCCTATGCGATCGCACACCAACTCCTGCGATCGCATTGAACAAATTTCAACTAAAAATCCCGGATTAACTTTACACTGTGCGATCGCATGCCTCCCTATGCGATCGCATTGAATAACCAAACACCCCCTCAAAAT